GCCATTTTCGGTTCCAATGAAGTCTCTTTTGATTAGATTCATGCGCGTATTGTCTAAGTATGGGATACCAACTTTGCATCAGTAATTGCGTAACTGAATGAATATTTGAGATTTGTTTACGTATTTCTAATAATGTGCTATAAATATATTCTTCAGTTTTTGTTCATAGTTTTGCTTTAGCAGAGGGATCAGTCATTCGAGGAATTGAACTTACTTTTTTAACTGATCTTAGTTTTGGAGTAGTATCCAATTATTTGCTTTAAATTTTTCATGAAGACAAAGAAAATAATTTTTAGGTTCGAAAAGAAGCATTGGAAAGTGATTCAGCAGTGATGCATGCCAACGTTGAAGTATATAGGCCAGCAGAATCTGGTGAATATGAAACGACAATTATTGATAGAACGCAAGCAGTTCCATCATTACTTGCCATCTCTGCTTTAGCCAGCAGACTTAAAGTAATTAAAAACAAACTTCATTAATAGTCGTAGTTTTTAGTAGTAATCAAATTTTTTTTATACTTCGTACTTGCCTATATTAGTAACTCTGTACAGATGTATGAAAATGAAATTCTGTAGATTCAGTATAATTGTGCAATAGAAGCTTACATTAAGCTTACAGTGACTAAAATCAAATTTTTCATTCTAGATGATCAGTATTTACGTAACATTTACTAAAAAGGATGACGTTGCACATCAAGCGATAATCATTGAATACGAGAGTGTTGTGGAGGAGGAAGCTACGCTGAACCTGACTATGCTTACAGCACCTCGATTTTATTCCAAAGAAGTAAACCTTATACAATCGTAGCTCTATTATTCTTAATCTTCAGTATTTTCTCGTTCTTAACAACCTACTTCTCACCAGTTTAATATTGCATGTTTGTACTTATCTTTGTGTTTCTTTTGTCTTGAGCATTTTTCTGAATAGTAAAGTTACTAACTTTTTTGCTGTAACTGAGCTACTTAGGTCAGTCATCAATTTCGATAAATTAAAGTAGTGAAGCTAAAAAAAATTTCCAAATATTAATAAGAATCGAAAATGAAATTTTAAGGAAGATGTTTGGTCATATAGAAAGAAACACCAAGAAGTAGATGATAATAGGAAGAATGTTGTGGCGGTTTTTGTGGAAGTTGAAGCTACGTGTCCGGATCAGGTGAATTACTTTTACTTTAGGTTTTTTTTACTTTGCAAACAAGCGCATTTTCACTTTTCCGTTTAATTACCAATATTTTTTTAATGAAAAAAGTATACTCAATTCTCCAAATTCATAATTCAATTAATTATTCTAGTTTTTGTGTATGGTTTGATATGATAATCGTGTAAGTCAAATTTTGTCTGAAATAAGCTTTTTAAAATTTTTTTAAATTTCAGACTGTGGAATTGATAGCATCAATTAATTTGCCACCATCAGCTCCTGGAGTCATAGATGGAACTCAATCTGCACAGTCAGTCTTCGAATCTTCTTCTTTCTCGTGGTCTGAATCTTCATCTGCAGGTGCAACAGTCATGAATTTTTTCACTTTTTATTATCAATTGATATGATAACTTCCTTAAATGAATGGGCGTTTTATATTGAAATTATCGTAAATTTTTTCACAATGCTAGATTAAATAAATCTGCCTCAAAGTACATAAATTTGGATCTTATCAGTTAGATATTTAAGGCATGATTCAAGCGCCCAGATTCATCAAAGCTCTGGAAAATACTACGGCAGTAACTGGACAATGTCATCGGTTCAAATGCATTGTTGTTGGCTCGCCAACACCAACAGTTCGATGGTATGTCGATGGCGATGCAATTCATAACTCTGAGTGAGCATTATAATTATTCTTCCGTGTTAAATGTTTTGATAAGATTACGGTGCATTAGCTACTTTATAATACATGATGATTTCGAAGAACATCTGAAAATTTGTCAGTTTACATAACTTTGCATCTTCTGAAGTAGTACACCACTTTATATATCAGTGAGCATAAATATGTATTCAAGCAAGAAAAAACATCAATTACAACGCATTATATTGTCGTAATTCAACATATTCCATAATCATATTATATTAATTAAACTGTTATTCATTTTGATTATCTCTTGTTTTTTAGTGATAATCCAATTTTCACCTTTTTATTTTAGTGTTTATCAAACAGTTTATGAAGATGGCGTTTGCATTTTAATCATTCGAGAACTTGCGATTGAAGACGAAGGAGAATATTCTTGTGAAGCAAACAATGATGCCGGTCGAGCCATCACAAAATGCTTTTTACGAATTATCAGTTAGTATTTTTTGCTTTTCTTTCAGAAAAATTGTTTTACTAAATTTGAAGCAATAATATTTTAAAAAGTTTTTAGTACAATTTTTTCACGCAGTTGTTTAGTCTAAGGAAAAGTGAATAATAATAATGTAGCATTGGCCCACCTAATAATGTAAAATAAATGAATGGTAATAAGCTGATTAGCAGATGTGCTACTGTAAAGCACAAAATTTAAACGTCACAAGTGATGATATAAGGTTCACTAATAACGACTAAGGTAAATACTGTAATATATGGAGTTGTGAAAAAGTTTGTAAAATTTGCTGCAAATACGGATAACAAGCATTGATACTTTATACTTCTCAGTCTATTTTTGAATTCTATTCGTGTTTGATCTCTTTTGCGCCAACCCAATTATCCATCTCAGTTGTTGAAAGAAATTTCTTTCCAGCATTTTGCTTAATCCTTTCACAATCTCAGATTCAGAACAACTTTCACCATTACGATTCTTGCTAATTTTCTACAATGTATTTGCTATTTCCAAATTTTTTTTTGAAAAACATATTCATTAATTCATTCGGTTCTGTTTGATTCTTCATTTGTTACGTTTAAGTTTTGTGTCTTGTGAAGCATTGCTGCTCATTTTTTACTTTCTGCAGTGAATGACCAAAATTAAGCAAAAGTAATCGTTCCACGGACAGTCTGATTCTGAGACGTAATTAGAAGTTATGAAGAAATTTGATTAGTTTTTAAAAATTTTGACCATTTACTAAAAGATTAGTCTTTATTTGTATACACAATTTTTAAATTGCCTAATCATTTTATTAGGATTCAGTCCGTGTCGCATTACAGTTATTGCGTTTATCTGTCTAACCAAGCATGAATTATTTTTTTATGCTTTCTAACAAAATAACATTCTTTAGAAATTAGATACTAGTTTCATAGTGCATTTTTTTAGCTGAAGCTGATCTCAAATGCCAAGAACAAATTATATGTAGCAATATACTACACGGCAGCAAACTCAACGCCAATAACGACAATTTCGCATTTTTGGCTGATAGCATTAGCTCAGATTTTGATGTAAACAGGGTCATATGTCATAATTCTTTTCCTGATTGCAGTAGTCTAAGTAAATCTAGCACTGCTCATCCATTGGAACAAACGTTTTGTAGCGCCAGTTTTGAATTTATGAGAAATAAGTTAGTAAAGGCTGAAGCATTAGGAATTGTTACATGTTATACATCAACTCAAAAAGGACTACGCAGAAATCTTGCATCCTTAGAACAAAATTCAAATATTAGTATTTGCATACCAAGTGCAAAAATGGTCTGTGAATTTATTTGGCCTTGCGCAAACTCAGAAGAATTTAAATTTGGTATAATTTTGCCTACGGAACAGACGACAAATATTCTGATTAAGATTTCTAAAGCTGCGCAAGCGGAACAAAGTCAGCATCTATTAAGTGTGAAAAAATCACTATACGAAACGGTTTCACTAGCTATCTGCCAACCTTGGGAAGAACTTGTATTATGGAAAAGACCTGAAAATGAATACATTTCTAACAACGCATTTGCTTTGATGCAAGAAAAAGCATTACAAATTTCAGCCCAAATTTTAATAAGAAATAATTGCAAAACTCCCCATAAATCGCTAACGAAAAGCTTTGAGCTAAAAAGTGACTGCATTGTTTGCAAATCACAGTTTTATGTGGATATTGAAATTGAAATTGAAAAGAAAGTTCGACAAAGTATGGCAACTTTTTCTATTTTGGTATGTCCGATTTTGCGAATACAACAGAGCATCAGTACACCAGAAACTGTAACAAAAAAAAGAAAAAATGAATGCAGAAGGAGGACAGGATCGAATACCTATTCTTTTCCTCAGAATTTTACAAATAATGGACAAGAAAGCTGTTGCAATATCACTCCTAGTAATGGTATCATCGATGAAGAAACTGAAATTCATTCTAATCCGAGTGCAATCGTGCAAAGATGTGTCGATGAATTACTTGATTCTGAAATACCATCATCTGCCTCTTATGCAGAGCAAGTTTATAAAGGAAATGAGAGGGATGAGCCAAGCAATAAAACAATAGGAAAATTATTAGGAACGCTTATCCCTGAAGTCTTTCTAAGTTGTTCCTTTCATCGCGAATCTGAGCATAATGAAATGGTTGAAAATTTGCCCTCGCCTTTACTCTTAGTTAATAAGCTATTTTCATGTAGGACATTGAACTTGCTCTTGACAGGAAATGTGATATCATCTGTGGAAACAGATAATGATTCATTGGCTACAGAAACAAATGAAGGAAACTACACAGAATATCAGAATTTTGAGAGCTTTCGCTGTCAAGATTATCAAAATGAAGCAAATTCCGA